TGTGTGTGTGTGTATGTGTGTGTGTGTGTGTGTGTGTGTGTGTGTGTGTGTGAGTGAACAGGAGGTCTTCAGAGAAGTTTGAAGCTTCAGCCAGCAGTCTCCACACAACCAAGCTGAAGAAATCACCTGAATGAGGAAGCCTTTGGTATGAGCCTAGGGCTTCATCTTCTCTGCATATTGGCCAGTCTCTGCCCCTACACTCAGTTCCTTAAACCATATCTTCCCTGCTATACTCTTAGATTGAGTCTCCTTGGAGCCACAGATATGGAGAGGGCAGCACATGTCAACAGAATACACCAGGACCTCCTCTCAAGCAGGTACTTCTGGTAGCTTCCTTTACCATGGAGGGATCTCATATGGCCTTTGTGAATGGGCCTTTGGTGGACTTTCATCTTTCAACACTAGTCATGGGTCACATGGTGACACACGAGGGAGAGCAGAGACACTTTCTCCTAGGTAATCTGTGTTCAAATGAAAATATCCTGGATAGTTAGTGTACCCAGCACGTGCAACCCATATTTTCTACACCATGAGTTTAATAATCAGGGGTACACGAGGGAGAATAGTGGTGGTACTTTGGGAGAGGGGCTAGTTTAGATAAAGAAGTCAGGACAGACTTTTCTGAGGATGACATTTAAGATGACATATAGTCACTGGGGCAAAGGCCAGGGAAGAATGTTCTAGGCTTCAAGACTAGTATATGCAAAGGTCCTGGGGCAGAACTGAGCTGAAGATTTTGTGGCACAGAAAGATGAATATGTCTGAACTATATAAATGAAGGGAAGAAGGAGAGATGAGACGAGAAGGTAACGTAGATCAGCTTACCTCAGACCTGGCTGCCATGCTACAAAGAGTAAATGTTCCCACTATGATGGAAATTATTGAGAGAGTTTCTAAACAAAAGACTTTTAAAGAAATGACTTATCTTTTTGAAAGATCACCATGTTTGCTACTTTCCTGAAGCTGTAACTAAATATATGACAAACAGCTTAAGAGAAGGATTAATTTGTCTCACATTTCTCATGGGTTTAGTCTATGGTTACTTGACCCCAGGCACATGGGTAGGGGTCATCATGGTGGCACCGGCCTGTGTAGGAGAACTGATCTAGAAGAGAGTGAGTCCCAGTTGCAGGCCAGCAGGCAAGACTCCTGTGGGCAGGCCTGCCCACTACCACCCCCATCAGACCCTGTAATCTATAAGGCCCAC